TCATAGCTTCTGTCATTGTAGGGGATATCATCTTGGTGCGTGGCCTCTCGTCCTCCTTCTCCACGTCGACTGGAAGGAGCTCATACTTGCACAGACGTATCGCATATGGGTCGTGTGGGACCGTCGTTGGCCAATGATCGTATTCCCAACGCTGTGTACAATGGCCTATGCGGGTGCGTGTTCGTGCATTGACGTGTACGTGGCTTCGACCAACACTCGCCTTAGCAATGGGAATCAGTGTTGTCGAACTGTTCGCCACCTATGTCCCGGGAGAGACTATTTTCACCGAAGCTGCCCGACGCCGCGTAGTCACGACAGCCTGTCTAACTTTGACGTGCGTGTCGGCCTACACATAGTTTAAGGCAGTTGTGCTCATATCAGGTATGCGTAGAACGAACGTGTACGGAACAGGCAAGCATCATCACCTCTTCTCCGCGGTCTCATTATTGACACTCGCGTCCCGCAGGATCGATTGCGTACCGGATATGGGCCAGCAACAGAGCTATGAAACACGGACACGCATTTACTGGAGTGGGCCTCACCGTCAGTGTAAGTAGACATGCATCAAGATACAAACAAGCCACTGACATCTGCAACAGGAAGCGCTTGTCATATTCATCGAGAGCGCGGCCTTCTACACGTACGTTACCCGGCTCCACAAACGCCGCCCCACACGTCCTCTGACACTGGCGCCTCCATAGCTTCTGGACGCTCTTCTTCGTCGTCGCCTACGCCGCAAACTCGCTGCTCGAGGCGTTCGCGTTCCACTGCATCCCCGCCGCGACGGGCATCTCGTTCATGCTCATCGTCGTGCGCGTCGGGCTCGGCTTCCACTGGTCACAGATCGCGGGCGACGGCATGGGCCTCGTCGGGCGCCGCCCGTCGATGCGCAAGCCGCACATCCCGTACCCGCCTCGCGCGATCACGCTCAACGTCACGCGCACGATCGAGCAGGAGACCGACTACGCGCTCCGGTACACGCCCGACCACCCGCACGGGTGCTCGAGCGGGGAGATCACGGAGGAGATGTGCTGAGCTGCTGCACGAGCGGGAGTGGGTTGCGCGTGCGCGGCAGGACATTCGATGGCGGACTTTCGCCGTGTCCTTTCTTTCTTCGCTTTCTGAGCGTCCGCGTCCGCGTTCGCGTTCGCTTCACGTTTGAGGCGTGCCCAGTGCCCCCTTCGCCGACGAAAAAGTCGGAACATGCTGGTACTCATCTGTATTTGTAGGCTCTGTAAAACAGATAGATGGATTCGAACATCCAACGCGGCCCGCATGCATGGCTTCTGCCCGCCCGGTACTTGCCCGTCGACTGAGCACAGACGTGGCGTCACCATTGGAGCGGGAAAGTCAAACCCAGCATACGTTAGCCCGGTCTGAAGAGTTTTCAGGATGTTCGCATACTAGAGCACATCTCACCTGTGTTATGTAGGCCATGAAGAACCCAGCTAGGTGACGTACGCTCGGCCCCTTGGTAGTATACCTCCCTCCCAACTTCAGACTTGATGCTTTCACGAACATCATTGGAATCGAATAACGTGTCAAGAAATAATCCCAAAAGTTGCTGATGAAAGGCATGATCGCGGTGCAATTCGAGGCATCGCAGTGAACATGTTTCATCATAGCGATGCAATAGCGTCTGCGCATGCAGTCAGGCTGTACCGGTGACCCTATGTATGTCTTCTCGGAAATGCATTTCCGTGTTCCTGTGTATACAGTTAGAGAACTATAGGAAGACTGAAATCCTCTGAGGGCCTTCTGTTCAGGTACTCGTATCGATATCATGATAGAACGTCGGAGAAGTGTGTGCGTGAGACGATGACCACCATGGACATCGGGCTGAAGTCGCGGGTAGGCTTGCTGGTATGGCGAGACGCAGTGCTGCAGAATCTTCTGGATAAATAGAGACACAACGCGGCGATAATGCGATGAGATGTACGAGCTGCGAGTTCTTGCCATCGCCGGGACCTGTATATAAATTTGTATAGACCTGGCAAGCGATGTCGAAGCCCAGTAGCGTTGGAGAGTCACCTCTTGAGCGTTTCTGGGTCGCAAGGTTCGTAACATTTGTACGAGGGGACCCAGAGCCCGCCTTTCTTAAACATTCGCTCAAGTAAGGATGACGGAAGGCTCCAGGACCAAAAGTCCAATCAGAGCCTTCTCAAACTGGACGGGGTTGTAAGTGTGGCTGTGTCAGTGGTAATTACCGATACAACGCTCAGGCTTATCTCCGATAACTCGCGTCTTTTAACCCGATCTTGTGCTTCCTCAGACTCAGCTCTACGTTGTGACTTTGGCCAAACTTTAGGTTGCTCCGAGCCACCGACGTTCGTACTCACTCGGATTGACCCGCACACTTCGCATCGCCGCGGGTTGTCTTCCCCTCTCACGCTGTCTTGTGGCGACTAGCTCCAGCTTGTAGCCGCCTCGCTGCGTGCCTGCTGCTCGTCGAATGTCCCCTCTGAACTGCACGCTCGAGTAGTTTGCGGTTTACCACTTCGGAGCTGCGTTGGGCGCGCTCGCTGTCTTTTCGCCTCCACCATACAGTCCACATATGCGTCATGCCACAGTGTCACTGGCCGCCTGATCGACCGGAGGGCGGTAGCTCACACGGACACAGTATGAAGCTCCGTTCTCTTCTTTTCCTGATGCACATGTTTTGTGGAATTAAGTCCACATGAAACGTCTTTTCCGTCGCCAGCTGTGATACCGTCATTAGCTGCACTCTCAGCACGGCACTTCTTTCGGGCTACGAAGGTACGTGCCGTTGTCATCGCCATCGCCGCAGTAACTGCCTCAGGCTGCGTCTACAGCTGCGCCACACCTTTCGTTTCTGCCACATGTCTGACGTGAGGTACGTCTTCACCTGTTTTCGCGTCTATTGTCTCTCTACTGACCGAGATGCTTGGATCCGACATATCTCCTCCATGGCTGGATTGAATACGTGAGACTAGATGCCGCTATTCCAACGGAGAAGAGACGATGCCGTACATCCCTGGCGACGAGGCTCCGCAACCCAAGGCAGTGGATACTCTAGTTCCGAGATGCCCTTGCCCGACAGATAGAAGCGTCTCCGTCACTGGCGAACTTTACCTCGACATCTTGATACTCATCTCTCGCCCTTCCCCTCCTCGCATGGTGCGCTGGCCGCTGCGAAGGCTCCAAGAACGCACATATAATCCCCATCAGGGCTAGCGGACTGTGGGTTTCCGGTCTCCGTGCCCTCTTCTTGGCGGCCATGCTTTCCGCCATCGGCGTCAACCTGGCATTGACGTGCATCGAGAGCATGCTCTTTGGGATCTTCTTCGTGCTCGCCGCCACCTCGCTCGCGGTGCTGGTCGTCCGTCACAGCAACAACGCTGGATCTGTGAACGTGCATGCGCCTCTGTCCTCGGAGAGGATATGGAAGTCACCACTCTTCGTGACCACCCTGCTTCTGCTCATGACGGTGTCCGCGGTAAGTGGCTCACGTAGATTCGCATGGCGCGTCCTCATGCGTGGCCGAGGTTAGCATTGGGTTATTTCCGTGCGGAGGATCTTTGAAGCGTTCTTGTACAAGGATGGAGGGGAGCGCGCGCTGGCGTATTGGTTGACGGTGGAAGAGCCCACCCAAGTGGCAGCTACTACTTTCGTGATTTCTTCTGTGATTGTCGGCGACATCATTTTGGTATGTAAAATTATCACCGATGGTCGTCTCTATCTGTGATGTTTAGATTTTCTGCCTTTTCAGACATATCGCATCTGGGTCGTATGGGACCGCCGTTTGTCGCTGATCATCTTCCCGACCCTGTGTACTTTAGGCTATGCCGGTATGTCGCCTCTTAATTCGCCATAATAATTCTCTATTCACGGGCGCGATAGCGATGGGTATAAGCGTCATCCAGCTTTTCGCTTCTTACGTTCCGGGGGAGAGCATCTTCATCCATGCTGCTCAACGTCGCATCATAACAACAGCGGCCTTGACTTTGACGTGGGCACTCCAGCGTTATGAATGCAAGTTCATAGGTTAACTTAATTTCTGCCTTCAGAACAAACATCTATGGGACGGGTATGTTTGGACGGCATCAATAGGTTTAGAGCAGGGATAACGGATTTGAGCAGTATCAATTGCGTATCGTATATGGTCCAGTAACAGGGCCCTGAAACACGAGCACGCCTCGCCGGGAATGGGTCTCACAGTTCGTCGATTTTCACCAGGCTCATGTACTCGACTGACGTCGCAACCAGGAAGCACTGACGATATTTATTGAGAGCGCGGCACTGTACACGTAAGTCATTCGACCCCTTCTCCGTCGGTAGGTATGCTTCGCGAAGTTGATGAGTCCTCTTGAACAGCTCCTGGACGCTTTTCTTCCTCGTCTCCTACTCCGCAAATTCGCTCCTGGAAGCTTTCGCGTTCCACTGCATCCCCGCTGCGACCGGGATCTCGTTCATGCTCATCATCGTGCGCGTCGGGCTCGGCTTCCACTGGTCGCCCGCGTCAGGAGGGTCCGCGCTCGCCCCGAGCATAGGCGTTGGCGCACTCGCGAGCGCGCGTGCGGGGCCCCCACGCGGCCAGGACCCAGGCGGCTACCCGATGCGGGTCATTCATCTGAACGTGACACGAACAGTTGAGCAGGAGGCGGTCACCGACTATGCGCTGCGACGCGGTCCGGAGAAAGGTTTGGACGCTGATGAGGACTCGGATATCGCCAAGGTGGAAGTATGAGAATGGAGCACATCTTGACGGAAACCTGGATGATCATGCATGGGCTGAGGGCTCATGTCGCCTGTTGGTGCATTGCCAAATCTTGTCAGTAACTAAGTAATGTATTGAAGACCAATTTTGTTACGAAGGACACCGCGGTCCGAGACCAATTCCTGTACTAGTAGGCCGAGTCAACAGAGGGTGCCAGACGGCGTAATGTAGTACTGTGCCCAAACTGAAGAGTTTTACCGCACGAGTAGCATAGATTCAGGCCCCTTGGCGCGGAGGTTCAGCAGCAATCCCAAAAATAAAATGCCAGGAGCGTGGATTGAACACGCGACCTCCAGAAATCCGCATCCCCTTCAATGGGTGACTTCAGTCTGTTGCTCTCCCAGCTGAGCTATCCCGGCGACAAAATTCTGGGCCCTGGCAACAATATATTTCTACAAGGGTTCACGCATGCTTCTCCTGCTCAGCATTCACAATCTGGAACCCTGAAGCCATCATCACCAATCATTTGCTATCATAATTAGATAGACTACCAGCAATTATGAAGGCCTTAGACCGAATTGAAGCCACGTATTTCGAGGCTGAATTCGAAGTTAGTTACGGCGCGAGACGCGTACAGGCGCCTAACAAATTACGCGCGACGCGTTCGGTCGCGCGTCTTGTCTCTCACCGCCATTCTTCCTGGTGTCCACCACTATCTTTCAGTTTCGCAGCCGCAATACCACCAGAGAATACGCTTGAAGCGATTAAAAACACCTATGGCAAGACAATCCGCGCGGTCCCAGAGGCTATCTCAGCCGTCCCAGTCTCAGCCACCGAGGGGAACCCAGGGTGGCCGGGCGCGTCGGGGGCGCGCGGAGGAGGACTCGGAGGAAGAGCAAGGATACGAAAACGAGCAGGGAGAGATCGCGGCGGAAAAAGTGCAACAAGTGAGCTATGCATCGTCTTCGATAAGACCTGGTTTAACCCCTGAACTGCGGGCCACAGGAAGTCCAGCGGAAAGCGCAAGATCTCGTTCGCTTGGCTCTCTTTCATGAACAGCGGCGGATACCCTTGAAGAGAGACGAGATATCGAAGAAAGGTACCCTATACATTCTGCCGTCGCGCGGATGAGCGGACTCTCACGCTCGTTCCAGTCTTGGGTACCAATTCAAGGTCCTTCAATGTGGTCTTCGCCGCGGCAAACGACATCCTGCAGAAGGCGTTCGGCATGGCGCTCGTTGAACTTCACTCCACACCGAACGACAAGGAGATCAGCGAGAAGGACGCAGAGATGCTGAAGAACACGGGTGTCAAGAAGAAAGGTTAGTTTCAAGCTCTCAACAAGGGAGCGTCGCGGCCTACTTTGCGGCGGGGTAATGCACGGCTCGGGGTGTGCCGCCTTGGAACGCGCGGGGGGATATCTCGCCGGCTTTTCTTTAAAAAAGGGTGGCGTGTTTGCCCTTATCCTTAGCTCCACTCCATTCCGTCCAAACCTCTTACTCACATCCGCTTCAGCCGCGTCGACCGGGACCAAGAACTACATTCTCCGCTCCACGCTAGACGCCGCTCTCATCGAGAAAGCGTGCATGCCCGACCCCGAGATCCGCGAGCTCGAGCAGGGCGAAAACCCGGACGCGAACGAGGAATTCGCCGAGGACGACAACCCGGTCGGCACGCGCTCCACGGGCAGCCTCTTCGCCTGGCACACCGCCGACCAGCTCGCCTCCGTCGGCGTCCTCTACGTCGTCCTCGCCCTCATCCTCGTCGAGGGCAAGGTCATCAGCGACAGTGAGCCCCCCCATCTTCCCCCTCCCCCGCTCTTCCCCGTAACGTAACATACACCCGCTCACGCACGCGCATCCGCAGACGACCTCCGCGGAATCCTCAAGCGCCTGCAGCTCCCCGCGAACGCGCCCGTCCCGCTCAGCAGCCAGTCCTCTGCGCAGGCGCTCACGATCGACGCGCACCTCGCGCACCTCGCGCGCCAGGGCTACCTCGAAAAGGCGCGCATCGGTGGGGCTGGCGCGACCGGCGCGGGCGGAGCAGGCAAGCGCGTGCGCGCGTCGCAGCACGCGAGCGCGGCGCACGACGACAGCGTGCTCGCCGCGTACGAGTGGCGGTGGGGCCCGCGCGCGCACGCGGAGGTCGGCGAGCGCGCCGCGGCGCTGTTCGTCGCCGAGTTCATGGCCGGGCGGCCTGGGGAGGACGACGGGGACGAGGATGCGGTCGGGGCGCCGCGCGATGCGGGCGCGCAGAAGCGCGTGGAGACTCTGTTTAGGGGCATCGAGCGTGCGGTGTCGGGCGTGCCCCTCTCGGACGTCCGGTGAGTGAGTGTATGATGGGGGGACAGGGTGTGTCAGTTGGAGGGCTGGTTGTCCCCTGGCAGACCGTGTGTTTGGTGTTGTACTCTACTATTTTTGTGTGCTGTAGTCCGTTATCCTATCCGCTCTAAGAAGCGTATTCTGCTCCTCTTGCTGTTATCGCCGCGCACCAGTCGTCGTTGTGTTCCCGCTATCGAATACGATGGATTCGTTGCCCACCCCAACGAAACCTCCAAGGGTTTCTCTTCTGGCCTGCCAACAGTCAACGAGCAGCCCGACTTATTCTTGCATTTTAAATATCTCCGCACTAGTAGGCCTCCATGGGTCCACTCCGAACCACGTCGACGTCGGGAAACGCAGTAAGTAACGCACGACCGGATGCATCCAAATGCACCATACACACACGCGAACCGAGGAGGAAGAAGTTTCAAAAACGCCAAGAGCGATTAGGTTGATTACACAACAGCGGAGAGATACGTATGCTACCAGTAAAATGCAAGTCTATCCTACACATGCGCACACACACACCATATGCCATGATGAAGTTCCTCGTGAATGTCGATAAGAACGACGGTACCGTCCTTTTGCGGAGCAGACGTGCGGTTCGCGGATGAGGGGAAAAAACCGATGGGGGGGACAGGGATATGAAAGGGACACGCGGGGAGGAGGGGAGGAGGATGAAGCAACGGCGGGCGGAGTGGGAGTGGGAGCGGTGTGCTCATGCGTGGTTGCCCGCGTCCGCGGGGGGACCGCCCGCCTTCTCGAAGCGCGTCTCCTCGCCGCCGCCAGCCTCGAGGGGCTTGTGCATCTCGGCCGCGCGCGCCTGCTCGATGAGCTCGCGGCGGGAGCCGAAGCCGGCGGGCGCCCACGTGCGGGACGTCCAGGGCTTGCAGTCGGGGTCGCAGTACATCATGTCGACGCTCTCGAGCGAGAGGTCGGAGGACTCGTAGAGGAAGAAGTAGACGATGACTGCGCCGGCGAGGTTGCACGCGGCGAAGACGAACCCGTACCGGAACTCGATCGCGGAGGTGATGAAGGGCGTGAAGAACGCGAGGAGGAAGTTCCAGAGCCAGTTGCTCGCGGTGGAGAGCGCGCCCTGGCGGGCACGCGTGCGCGTGGGGAACGTCTCGCCGATGAGAATCCAGACACCGCTGAAAAAGAGACAGTCAGGAGATGGTGGGTCGCGACGGAACGGCCGAAACTCACGGAGCCCAGGTCATGGCGTAGCCGAAAATGAACAAGCAGGCGCTGACAATCATGACTATGCCGGGTATAAGTAAGGATATAGCAGTACGAATAGCACATTGACTTACGCTTGCCGATGCCCTCATCTGTCTTGGGGTCCTTGGCCGTACCGGCCGCAGCGAAAACAAACAGCCACATCGATTGCCATACACCACCGATGATGAGGGGGTAACGACGCCCGAACTGAAGAAACGTTAGTCCATGCCGAAAGTAGCGGCAGCAATGCGACACACCTTCTCCATGACGTACATGCCGCCGAACGTGCAGCCGAAGTTGACGGCACCGAGAATGATTTGGGTGACGAAGGAGTCGTCGATGCCGACGGAGGTGAAGATGGTGGCACCATACTGTCGTATGGTTAGCTGAGATCCGGGGCTGCGGGAGAGGTCACACGCACGTAAAAGAAGTAGTTGGCGCCGGTGAGCTGCTGGAACATCTGGAGCGTCATGCCGAGGAGGGTACGGTAGAGCTGCTTGTGCTCGGGCTTGAAGCAGTCGAGCCAGCCAGCCTTGACCTTGCTCTCGAACTCGATGGCCGACTTCATTTCCTCAAGCTGGGGTACGATCACCGTCAGTCTGCGTAGCGTTTGGATTGACGCGCATGGCGCACCTCGCGGTGAACGAAGAAGTGGTTCTCCGCCTCGGCCTCGGGGATACCGCGTGTGGCCGCGATGGCGCTGCGGGCCTCGAGGAAACGGTTCTGGGCGGTGAGCCATCTGGGGCTCTCTGGCATGAAGAGGATGCCGATGCCGAGGATGAGCGGCCAGAGGAGGCCAATGCCGACGACGGTCCGCCACGAGCCGGAGCCGTCGATGTAGCGCGCTCCGATCGAGATGCAGTCTGGAAAGCGGCGGTCAGGATCGGGGGACGGACGGATTGGGAAGGAGCGCAGGTGACGTACAGGCGACGAGGATGCCGAACGTGATAAACAGCCTGCACAACACAGCACGTGTCAGCCATCGACGTCATCGCGTCCAATCGGGTCACGTACTGGTACGTCGCGGTCAGCGTGCCACGAATCTGAGGCGGCGCCGTCTCTGCCTGGTACATCGGCACCGCCGCGCTCAGCGAGCCCACACCGAACCCGCTGACGAGACGGCCCACGGCGAACTGCGCCCACGAGTGGAAGGACGTGATTTGGATGATGACGCCAATCATGAACACCACACACTCCACCGTCATGGCGTATCGACGTCCGAGGTAGTCGGCAGTCCTAGACAGCAGCCGACGGTTAGACGGCGAGGGGAAGAGAGCTACCGAGTCGACTTACGGTGCACCAAACAGCGCGCCGACGAGCGTTCCGATGGACAGCAGGGCGACGATGAGGCCCTCGCGGACGGTGGAGAATTTACACGAGTCGACGACGCCCGGGGTGCTACATTGCGCGAATCGGAGCTTGAAGTCTTCCATGAGCAGAATATCTGAGATTTGACCGGTGTCGTACTGGAGGGAAGGGGATTAGGACTCGCGCACACACGACGGAGAGGGGGACGTACACCGAAGATGAAGCCTCCCATGGAGGCCAGGACGGCCAACATGATGGCCATCCACCCGATGGGCAGACCATCGCTGCAGCGGCGGGTCAGCGCAGGCGAACGAGAGACGTCCGACGGTGCACTCACACATAGAACAACGCCATGTCTAGGAGGGGGGGTTAATAAGCGGTAATAGGGGTATTCAGAGGCTAGTCGTAGAAGTCGTCGCAGTCGTTGAGGTGAACGGGGAGAGGGCAAAGACCTGGTCCTCGATCGAGGCAAAGGATGCGTGCTATCAAGCCGAACGGAGTGCCCCCTCGCGCGGCTGACAACTTCTTATAGGCCGTCCGCCGGCTCGGATGACATCACCGGCCGCGCC